TGTTAAATACAAGTTTAAAATTAACATTGAATTTTTTTTAATATTTCAATGACATTAAATATAAACTTAAAATTATTTGTAATATAATTTTTTTAATTTCTTAAAAAATTTATAAATATTCATGGATATCCATGGATATCCATGAGTATTCAAGAAATTCATGGATACTCGCTTAATGGATACCCGCGCGGATATGGGGTGGGTATGGGCCCAATTTTCATCTAGCAGGGCGGGGACGGATTTACTATTACCCGCCCCCATGGGGCCCCATTGCCATCCCTACTTAAGTCTACCACATTAAAGCTCCCTTTATAAAGTTCATTCAAGAGGTATTTTATCAAAGTCTTTCTTTATCATCTATCATATTTGTCGTAATTATCGCCATAAATAAAAGCAACCATGTAGACGTCTTAACGTCAATCGCGTAATTTAAATTTAAAGCATGTAAGTAACCATTAATAAAGGGAATTGAATATTCAAGCTATTATTCTCTATCGCGTTAGTTTCATCATAATGGTACCAATTTAGGACGTTATAGGGTGCCTAACACCTTCCTTACACATAATTGACCCCCGAGCCCAATTCTGATTGTAAAGGCTAAGTTGGCATTTTTTGAAAACCCTTTTCTTTTTTCGATTTTTTGAGCAAAACATTATGGCGTCTTCCACAAACCATTTTTCAAAATCATTAATTAAGGATTAGTCTGGTATCTGAACATTTCTTGATTGATGAGATTTTTCAAATAGAGGTCTAAAACCATCTGTGGGTAAAATCATAATTTTTCAGGTTCTGACATGGGGTAGAGGGTATCAACATTCCTAATTAGCACTAAATTATAATTAGTTATTGTACAAGTTCCTATGAATACGATATTTGGACTTAAGTCCAATTTTACTATTTGCAAATTCGATACACTTGTTAAATGCTAACAATCAACACCAAGAAAGATAAGAATAAATGTCTCATATTTTTATAATGCACATAGGGTAATATTTATAAATCAATAGTGAATCATTTAAATATTTTATGATTTTAATTGTTGTATCAATTAAATGGTCATGTCATTTATTGTTAACTCATAACTAAACATTTGTGAGATTGATTGTTCAATTAATGTGACTAAAAGTTCATCTTTTTATAACCAATTAAAAAAATATGTCTTATTAATGTTGGTGAATTTACATCCCAAATTTTTTTATTGGGTATTGTTTGTCTATTGAAATTGATATTTCCTCCCCTTAAAGATAGAAACTTGCAATGGTTGCTTCGAGTGGAACAAGCAATGGGTCCTTCTTGGATAGAAGCTGGTATATTCGAATTTATTCAACTCGCCAAATTCGATCTTCATCTCTTTGATCCTTAGATGCTCCTTTCTGCTATTTTCTTTTGGAACAGAGAGACTCGTGCTTTCGAGTTTCCTTGTGGTTTTATCTGCCCCACACTATTAAATATTGCAGCTATAACCGGTTTAACCCCTTTAGGAGATAGATTTCACCTTGACGCTGTCAAAGAAGAGATTTCGATCAAGCAAGTTTCGATTACCTGGGACAAGAAGACTTACCTTGCCTTTATTACCGCTCATATGGGACAACCTGGTACCCCTGTTTCCGAGTCTGAACACATTGCTTTTTTTATGTACTGGTTATCTGCATGCGTCTTCTGTACTCCTTTCTTCAAGTCCCAAAATATTATTATGTCTTAGCTTAGGCCTTACATCTTAAGAAGAAGATTTGTTTGAGTAAACTTTTGTTGGCTTCTCTATACACATGTCTCGATGAAGCTTCGGAAAGTCTATCCCGGGAATCCGGTCCTCGCAACCTATCTGGACCGTTATGGTTACTACAATTATGGTTAAACGCGATTTTGGAGAACAAACTCTCACTGACTTCCTCCTTTGCTCCAGCATGCGCACTCGAGGGAGCTTGTTTAACCACACTTACTCCTCGAAAACGTTTAGTTGACAACTTCTCAAAATACATTGGGGCAATTCTTAGTTTCGATCAGTTTAGTGAAGATTTGGCTCCGTTCATCCGTTCTTCTTTAATTGGCCCTCCTTGGCTCCGTCACAATAATCAAATCTGGAATATAACACTTGATTCCATTGAAATATGGGAAAAATTCTTATCCTGGGACGTGATTATGTCAGGCATGCGTCAAAAAGATGTCAGAATTTACCCGTACCAGCCGCAGCTGTTTGCTCGACAATTTGGACTTTGTCAGATGAAACCTTTGCCTCTTCGACGTAAAGAGAGTATAGACGCTGACATTTGTGTCGAAAGAGGAAACTATGAAGAAGTGTTAAAGTTTATTTTACGTCCAACTAAACAACTCCACCTCACACCTTGCTCTTTTTCTCCTTCTTTCTTAGTTTCTCAATGCTTTCTTCGTTGGTGGTGTCAGTATTATGTTGACAAAATGATCGATTTCAATGCATTTTTGAAGAAGCTGACCAATTCTCCCCTTTCTTCGCAGGGTCCCAAACAATCAGGTACTTTCAGGAACCAAACTATAATTTATCAATTCGAACAATTTTTTAAAGTTAGTTATCGACCCAACAATGTGCATCGAACTATCTTTGATGCTTCTGTCTCCTTGTCGAAAATGGTACAAAGGAACATCCATTCAAAAAAGGTAATAAACCCTCGAGGTAAAACTAATATCGAAAAATTTTGTCCAAAACACATACCTCCTCTTCCAAACGCTCTTTTTGGTTTAGTTAAGCATTTATCTCATTCTCCTTGGGTGAAAACACTCGACCCGTTTTACCTCGAGCGCAAGGAAATTCCTAAAAAGAATCGAGTTACCTATGCGAAATGTTCTGTGTACGATTTTCCTCGAGACAAATGGTGGCCACTATGTTGGGTCAATAACGTTAACCCTCCTCCTGGTAAATAACTTTAGCTGAATCCTTCCTCGAAATGCGATTTTGTCGTTGTCTTATCCTTTTCCTCAGATTTTGCAGATGTCATTCCTCAATGTGTTCCACGACATGTTGAGCAAACTCCCAATTGGGAGAGTGACGATGATGAGGACAAAGAGTCCTCAAAGAAAGGTCAAAAACGAAAGACCGCTACTAAGAAGGTTTCTCTGCGTTCTAAGGTACAATCCTTTTCAATTTCACTTAATTACCAAAACTTTTGGGAATACTTTGGCTTACGTTCTTTTATTTTGGATACCTTACAGAACGTTGAAACCTCGAAGAAACAGAAGGTTGGCTCAGACAGTACTAAAACTGTAAGTACTTCGACTCATACCATTGTTGCATTTGTCTCGACGTGGTAGTTCTAACAATTTTCGTTTCCAGGTCTCGACCACGAAAAAAAAAGATAAGGGTAAAAACAACATGGCAATCTCTCTTTCTAAGAAGACTCAGAAGCCCTCTGTTGCGAAGCTTCTTCAAGATGCTATGAAGTCAACAACCAAGGTATTCTCTTTCTCAATTTTGGTTACCTTATTAAGTCAATATCTATAAAATGTCCTAAACTTTGTTTATCCATAGGATGTTGAAATCATCAACATTGATTCTTCTCGAGAAATGTCGAGAGATATACCCCTTGTTACTGAAGCAACCCAACAGGTTCCCTTTTCTATCTTTCGGTCTTATAACCTTTCCTTCAATCTTCTCACCACAAAATTTCTGTGCAGTTGACCACACCTCAATTGAACAATGCTGAGATTACTTCTGTGGTGGCTTCGATCAAAATCCCTCCACAAGTCGAAGGAGACAGAATTCTCAATTCTGAATCTTCGCCTATTGTGAAGACCTTAAATGATTCTGCTCAAGGTGAACCCTCTTTCGAGCTACAACCTCTCTTGAGTCCGAACAAGAGTATATTTCTTTCACCTTTGTATTCTTATCCTGACTCTTAATGAAACCAACTTATATATTTTCCATTTATACAGGTTCGACCGAGTCACCTCGACCTTTCACTGCTTCCCCATCAACTCAAGGAGGTGTTACTTCTTATGTTCAAGGACTTTCTTCAATTCCTTCTCCTGACTTGGATTTGATGAGCTTCTTTAACGACGAAGATGAAGATATTAACAGTATCTTTGAGGTCTTGGATAATTGGACAAGTGGTCCTTCGAAGTCGGAAAAAGAAAAAGTTAAGGTTATCGAGGAAATTTCTGAGACTCCATCATATCAGCCTCTACTTGACTCTTTTCGATCAAAGGCGTATGTCGAAGATCTTGATCAGGCCTTCCTCATTCCTGAGTTCAAGACAAAGGTTGAACAGATGATGGAGGATTTATTATCTTACCCGAATCTTCCTCCTGAAGTCCATTCTGAGCTGCAAGAATTTGTCCAACCCTTCAGCCTCGCATGGGACCTTCGATCTCAATGGTCCAACGCGTTTCAAGAAGTAGCTCATGTCGAGATTGAAAGCGAAGAGAACCGTGTTAAACTTGAGGAGCTCCGAGATGACCTGGTTGCGATCAAAGGCTCATCGGCGGAGATGATTTCTTCTTTGCAACAACTGCAACAAGAAGAGAAAATGACATTTCTTATTTTCAATTTTGGACTTCTTTTACAAACATTATCAAAGAAAACATTTTCTAAAATTAAAAGTAAACACATTTTTGTAAAATAAAAAACGGTTAAACTAAGCAAACTCTAATTTTCTTATGATAAAAATAAAGTTTTAATACGGTAAAAAAATCATGTTACAGTATTTATGGTTCTCATAAATCATAATTTCCAAACATAAAAAAAAAAAAGAAAAATTGTTGTATATCAAACTCCACTTTAATTCAAAATTATTTCTAAAAGAATAAGTGAGAGCGCTACCTATATACTATAATATATGTGGTTAAAGATGCTTTAGAAAATAGAACTAGTATAATTTATGTAAAAGTGTGAAAATTAAATATATTTTAATGTGAAATTAATTTTGATTTATTTATATATAACATAAGTAAAAAAAAAGAGTATGAATTTATTCTTAACCTGTATAAAAAAGAAAAATTTAAAGCGCAGGCCTTTTGGAAGAAAAAAGTAAGGGTTAGTCATTAGTGTAACTTCTGGCCAATAGAAACAGTAGGTGTATCCGAAACGCAAGCGAGGAAACGAAACCTTATTCTCAAAATTAGCGAAGAAGACACGCAGGATCACTCACAATGGCTGACTCTTCCATTATCAACGGTTCCCATTCCAGGTTCCCTTAATTCCTCTTTCGCTTTTCATTCTCAACACCAAAACTAAAACACTTCCTCCTCCTAAATTTTTACTCAAAACACTTGATTTTTACAATTTTAAATTTTAATTATTTTTTTATTATTTTAATCTATTAAGTATATTCACTATTCTCAAAGTAATTGGTTGCATCATGATCATGATGCTTCTAATAACAGCCCCCATCCAGATTATGCCGAGATTGTTGTGGTGCGTCATGGCGAAACAGCATGGAATGCCACTGGAAAAATTCAGGTGATTTTTCTCTCCGCCTGCCGAATTTGTTTCGTTCAATATTGCATTTGTTACATTCAGCGGAAATACAAATATTTAGGTTTTCCAAAGATATGCTTTATCAAGGAAAGTAGCATTTCCCTGTCATGACTCAAATTTACTTCAACTTTGGGTACGTTAGAATCAATAATAACAATGCAATAAAAATGATGAGTGATTTATAGGTGATGTGAAATCGGGATGAAAGTCTTGTGGAGTCGTTCTATTAGAAAAAATAAACTGCAGAGTGTTTTTCCTTCTTGAATTGCAGTATATGTTTCTTACTTCAATATGAATTTTGGTGATGTGAAGTGTTCTACCTAATTTGAGTTTGCTATCGTTGTTTTGGCTTCTGCAGTATGTGTTTTAGTAGTTTAAATACCATTTTCTCTAACATAGTTTTTTGGTTCAAATTTTAGGAGCGAAGAGGAGGGAATTTAAAATATTTTAATATAATATCTAATATATTCTTATTTATGTTATTAAATTTTAAAATTATAATGATACAAAAGTAAATTGGTTTTTATCTCTCCTTTCCCCTTGTGAACCAAACAAAAAAAGAGCCACCCCTCTCATCCACTTCTCTCAACCAAACAAAATTTCAACTCCTCCTTTCCCCTCCATTAAAATCCCTCCCTTTCCCTCCCCTCCTTTTAACCTTTGGACTTCTTTTACAAACATTATCAAAGAAAACATTTTCTAAAATTAAAAGTAAACACATTTTTGTAAAATAAAAAACGGTTAAACTAAGCAAACTCTAATTTTCTTATGATATGAAACCGCTCTCGAAGCAGTCCGTTATCATGTCCTCATCATCTTCGATGAACTTTCTAGAGGACTCCCCTTTTTGAGGAACTGGAATCGAAAAACAATTTCCCCTCATACCTTCAAAGGTTGCTTTTCGCATCCTTTGCTACCTCCTTCATTGGGTTTTGGTTAAGTTGTTAAATGGCTGTCGGAAGCCACGTCCATATCCCCCAGCCGAAATTCTAACATTCCCAGTAGTCAAATTCGAAAATTTTCCTGCATTTCCATGTACCAGATTCCCACTGCCAGTCATTACTTGTTTACCTCGACCCATTATAGGCCTTTCAAATTGTGTAGAAAAATGTGATCTATCAAATCCAAAAAGTTGGTATAGTTTTGAAGATACAAAAATTTGTGAAGCTATATTTTTCAAAAACTTCAAAAGGCCATAACTTTTGCTCTGGATATCAGAAGTGGGAAATTTTTTTTTTTCAAATTCTGTAGAAAAATGAGAACTATCAAACGCAAAAATTTGGTCTAGTTTTGAGGTTACAAGAAATAGTGAAGCTATTTTTTTCCAAAACATCGAACGGCCATACCTTTCGCTCTGATGATCAGAATTGGGTAAAGTTTTTTTTCAAATTGTGTAGAAAAATGAGATCTATCAAACCCAAAAAGGTGGTCTAGTTTTGAAGATACAAAAATTTGTGAAACTTTATTTTTTCAAAACTTCAAACAGTAATAACTTTTGGTCTGGGCATCAAAATTGCGCAAGGTTTTTTTCAAATTGTGTAGAAAAATGAGATATATCAAACCCAAAAAGTTGTTGTAGTTTTGAAGATACAAAAATTTGTGAAGCTATATTTTTTCAATACTTCAAAAGGCCATAGCTTTTGCTCTAGTTATCAGAATTGGGCAAACATTTTTCTCAAATTGTGTAGAAAAATGAGATCTATCAAACCCAAGAAGGAGGTCTAGTTTTGAAGATACAAAAATTTGTGAAGCTATATTTTTTGAAAACTTCAAACGGCCATAATTTTTGCTCTGGTTATCAGCATTGGGCAAACTTTTTTTTGAATTTGTGTAGAAAAATGAGATATATCAAACCCAAAAAGGTGGTCTAGTTTTGAAGATACAAAAATTTGTGAAGCTATATTTTTCCAAAACTTCAAACGAGCATAACTTTTGCTCTAGTTATCAGAATTGGGCAAACTTTTTTTTTCAAATTGTGTAGAAAAACGAGATGTATCAAACCCAAAAAGGTGGTCTAATTTTGAAGATACAAAAATTTGTGAAGCTATATTTTTTGAAAATTTCAAATGGCCATAACTTTTGCTCTGGTTATCGGAATTAGGCAAATTTTTTTTTTTAAATCGTGTAGAAAAATGAGATCTATCAAACCCAAAAAGGTAGTCTAGTTTTTAAGATACAAATATTTGTGAAGCTATATTTTTGCAAAACATCAAACGGCCATAACTTTTGCTCTAGTTATTAGAATTGGGCTAACTTTTTTATGAAATTGTGTACAAAAATGAGATCTATCAAACCCAAAAAGGTGGTATAGTTTTGAAGATACAAAAATTTGTGAAGCTAATGATGGAGGAGGCCCATGGGTCAAGGGCCCAACTACTAGGGCTATGGCCAAGAGGATTCATGAAGAGTGGGCCCATGTTCAAGAAAAGCCCATCATAATTTTCAGTGGGCCTTTGACTCAAGCTCAAGTAGACTAGGAGTAGTGTAGGTTTGGGCCTTATGGCTTGTATTGCATTTTTAGGCCTTGTATTTTCGGCCACCTAGACTAGGATTTACATTTCATGCCAATGTGAATTTAGGGTTAATTTAGGTTAGCATGAGCATATGCATTTGCATGTAATTAGTATGACATTTAGTATGCATTTCGGCCATGTGCACACATGCACATTGTGTGACCGAAATGCTACACAAATGGATACCAAATTACATCCAAATGAGTGCACATGGGGGAGGTGACCGGTTGACACCAAAATTTGAATATTTGAATTCAATAATACGGTAAAAAAATCATGTTACAGTATTTATGGTTCTCATAAATCATAATTTCCAAACATAAAAAAAAAAAGAAAAATTGTTGTATATCAAACTCCACTTTAATTCAAAATTATTTCTAAAAGAATAAGTGAGAGCGCTACCTATATCCTATAATATATGTGTCGAATCCATGTCTATTGAGTATCCTCTCTACTATTTGGTCTAAGTTATCCTGTGGATTTCTATTAGGTCGAACTACGTTCTGGCGAAAATTCTCATGCCCCCCAGGATTTTCCATCTCATTCAGATTTCCACTCATGGCTCTCGAAGGTGACCCCTCACCTAATTTATCTCCAATTCTATTTATCAATTCATACAGAGGAGTCATAACATTATGCATTTGTGTTGACAACAAATTGACCATGTCATGATTACTGTGGTCCATTTGTTGTCGAAGAGCCATCATGGCTTGGTTACTAATACCCATAGGTACATAACTCCCTGGTCGAATCAGCGAACCCTCCTGACTTGTCCCTACATGTTGATATGGGTCTTGCATGACAAAACCCAAACCATTTGGCCCAGGGTTGTATCCCTGTGGGGATACGTGTACTTGTGGGTTTGTCCCTAAAAAAGGTATAGGCATTTCTACGTGTACAGGTTGGGTATTACGCCAATTTTGTGGCATGCCCCAGGGGTATTCTCGATTGACGTTAGTTAATTCCTGAGTCATATTAGTTTGCCTAGCCCCATGTTCAAGCCTAGGAACATTTTCGACCAAGACTGGGGACGATCTTGTTGCCCCCCTTGTCCCACCAGTCACATTATCGAGGTGAGGACTCTCTAGTTCTACATCAACATGGTTATCATTATTTTTTTCCCTCCTATTGCTAGCATTAGATGTAGACATAGTTCTTCCACTCCTAAGTCTCATACAACACGTGCACCTAAAACTAGTCCAATTATGTTCAATTTAAACGTGTCCCACCGGGCGTGCCATTTTGTTTACGGTGAAAAACGTTTAAGGGTTCTTTTTACTCGAACTAGCACGTAAATGGTTTCAATTTAGGATTTTTGATTTAAGAACAGGAAAAGGAGTGAACAACTTTAGTAATTACTTGTTTCTAAAGATTCTTCCATAATTAACAAGCAATAATTTTCAGATATGTAAATACTAAGATGAACAGAATGGATAATAATGATATTTGCAATACGAATCATGGTTAATTGGCATACTGTTCCATAATTACAATGTCAAAGTGATGCAATTTCGTAGATTACAAGGGAGAAATTTAAATAGCTACACTAATTCTACTCCTAGAAAGCAAGAAAAAAGGCCAGGAGTTAATCATACCCAAAAACGATTTTGTGCACGAAAGCCATATGCGCAGGCGGAGAGTTCTTGAGAATTTAGTTTTAACAGTATGAGTTTTTCCGACCTTGTGCATGAGATGAATACTCCTATTTATAGACTAACTAAATAGCGGTTAAAATTTAAGCTTGTGTATTGTGGGGTGTAACTGCTATCCACTATGCTTGATGTGGGTAGGAGTTATGCAACTTCTCCGTATGTAACTTCTTCTAACCGCCTTTCCCACGTGTTCTATTTTTCGATCTGTGCTTTAGTAACCGCTCTAGTGCACCCATTAGGTATCTTCGATCATTGTTCAACTAACTGTTTTAAGGTAATTACTCTATTCGGAATCCTTCAGTTATTCCCACTTTTCGACCACTTTTTCCGTTCAATTTGGCTCATTGATTCGAGTATGTTTTCGCGTACAGATATACTTTCCTTGACCCTTATGAGTGTGCTTTTCGAGTCGTTTGATCTTCGAGTAAGCCCAACACTAATACATCTTCAATCCATGGTCTTACACTTGAACAAATTCAAAGCCTCAAAGCCTTATTATCACTGACTCAATCTACTACTACAACTCACTCCACCAATCTTGTGAGCACACACAATGTCACCACTTAACCCATGCAGGTAATCTTCAAGTTCCTTGGATCTTGAACTTAGGAGCTATAAATCACATTTCATTTTTTTTACAGTTTTTTTCTTCTTAGAAACAAATTAAGCCAATTCCTATATTTCTTTCAAATGGAAAATATATTATTGCCTCCTTTTATCAATCTAATATCTCTTACAAAATTGACTCAATCTATATCTTGCAAACTCTCTTTCTTTCATGATCATTGTCTCATATAGGATTTGAG